TACGCCCAAGCGCCAGTTTGGGCTCTCCAGGTGGGAGATGCAGTGGCGCGACCTGGTCTTCTCAAGTGCATCCAGTCCCGGTGGAAAACGTCCACGCCCGAGACGGTGGATGACCAGGGTTGGGTGAGGTTTTGTGGGTACGAGCTCAAAAGCCATGAAGGAGGTTTGTTGTTAGGTCAACCCTCCTACCTGGGTGAGTTGCTGCAGAGGCACAACATCGTGGACAAGAAGACGGTTCCACTGCCAAAGGACGCCGTACCTCCTCCAGAGGTGGAAGAAGGGGTGACGGCGGAGGAGATCAAGAAGGCGCAGGGCATTGTGGGGGAGATCCTGTGGGTGGCCATTCGCAGTCGGCCTGACCTGTCCTATGCCATCAGCGCTATGGGAAAAGAGGTCACAAAACGGCTGAGATGGGTGCTTCGGGTGGGACAACATGTTCTGGAGTACTTGAATGGCGCGATGGACTACTTCCTGCACTATGTTTTTTGTGGACCTGGTGATCGTGGACCTCATGGTGATCTTCCTCTGGAGCGCTCTACATCGTTGGTGGAGCTCTTCAGTGACATTTCGTATGCCCCGCAAGGGGAGACAAGTGTGCAAGGCATCGTGGCGATGATTGCGGGCGCCACTGTGCAGTGGGAAACTTCCAGGCAATCGTGCCTGGCATTGTCAACGGCGGAAGCGGAGCTGTACTCCTACGTGGAGGCCTTAATTATGGGGGATTCGCTGCAGGCGCTGTGGACGGAGGTGCATGGAGAGACGCCGGAGATCGTCACCTATGGCGACAGTCAGGCTGCCATCTCCATCGTGCGCAATCCGGATGGTCCATGGCGTACCAGACACCTTCGACTCCGAGCTAACGTGCTTCGAGAACGAGCTCAACAGGGGCGATGGAAGATCTTCCACATGGCGGGCACGCAGCTGATCGCCGACTACCTGACCAAGAGCATCACGGTTCGAGCTTCCTGGGACCGCTTCCGGGCGTTCACCAACCTCCTGAAGGTCGAGAACCTGGGTGGGGTGGCTGCGGATGATGGGGAGGGTTCGCAGGACGCGGTGGAATCCATGGTGCGGGTGGCGAAGCTTGCTGCATGTTTGGCTGGGTGCGCGGCTATGACCTGGCCTTCCTACACTGCAAAGGCGGCGGTGGCAGCGGCGCTTGCGATTGGGCTGGCCTATGAAGTGAGCCGGGGTTTTAGCAGGGGTTTTTGGACGAGGGACCAAGATCCGGGGGAGTGTTCAACCATGTCAGATAGGGAAATTCAACAAGAATTGAGATCTACTGAACACTCCACTCGGCTGCAACCTCGTTTGTGTGCCCTGCGGCCTTCGCCGGCAAGGGAAGAACAAGACCAACAGGGGTCAGAACAACGGACCAGTCAAGAAAACATATAAGAAATGTTCAAGAGGCCAGAAACTCATCGGCGTCGGGCCGCACGCCACCTCCAGGGGAACGTGTCTCGGAAACTGAAGGCCCTGGGGGTTTAGACCGTAGCCTAGAGGCTCCCAACTCCACTGTGTTCGAGGTGGAGGCGGTGAACGCGAGCCATGGCGTGTGGGGTCGCATCCAGATGATGCTGCCTGCTGTCTTCCGAGGTGGACGAGAATGGCTTGGAGGAGATGCAGGGCAGCCGGAAGAGGTGCACTACACGAACACCAGGGTGACGCAAGAGGCCATGGACACGGGCACCTACGACATGACAAGACCGCCGATGGTGGTCACCAGTGAGGGCATCCGGACGTTGCGGCCAGAAGAGGTGGACATGGAGACCCAGACGATTCGCCTGATACCAAATGAACGGCTGGTAGCGAAATCTCCGCCACCTGCAAAGAGGCCTCCGGTGCCCCCTCCTAAACAACCTCCTGTACCCTTTCAACCGCGTGGCTATGGGGGGGCTACATCGAGTGGTTCTTCAAGGCCGAGTGAAGCTGCTGAGCGAGGACAAGCGGCGATGGCATCTTCAAAGGCGATGGGTACCGCTATGGGGTACACTTCAAAGGCTGCGGGAACCGTTCTCCAAGGGGTTTCCAAGTCGGCAGCGGCGGCGAGGAGTTCGAGCTCTACGGGACCTCCTACGCTGGAGCGAATGCAGCAGCCGGCAACCGACAGGCCGTGGAACAGGCCGGGCAAGGCTCCACCGGCGCAGCTCTTGATGCCGGTTGGGGGCCTGATGGATGATCAATTGGAGTTCCAAAACTCGGTGTTTTGGACGCCTGAGATCCTGAATGACATTCAGGATTTGATCGAGGAAGAAGCGTTGTTCTACAAGCCAACGCTCAAGAGTGATCGATGGGATCACCTGACCATGGATGGCTGCAGATGGTTGGTCCGATACCATGGAAGTGCGCGGGTGCAGAGGTTTCATCCGGAGCATCGCAGCTGTCCTGAAGAGATCGATGACTTGGAGTTCATGAGAGTCACCGTCGCGTGGAAAGGCAGCGAATGGCATCGAAGAGTGGTCGTGGACTGCGATTGGCGACGAGCAGAACTGAGCGGGCCGGGCTCTTGGGTCGGTTTTTCGCTCTTCCTCATGCGAAATGGCATGAGACGGCTTTGACGTCCGAAGGCGGACGGGGGGGAGTGCGGATCTTGAAACAGGACGCACAAAACGAGAAGTGTACAACTAGGTACACAAGACCACAGGCCGAAACGCCTGCGTGTTTGGCTCAAGAAAACAAAGACCGCTTTTCGTGAAGCATGCAAACAAATCAATACTCGTCTAATTGGCTTCTTGGCAAAGGATACCCCTTAGGAAAGCCATGAATCAAGATACTTTTCGACTTCAAATTTGAAAACTTGAGCGGTGGAAACACTTTTCCAAAACGCGACAAAACACGGGCATTCCCTTTCGCAAATCCTTAGCTACTAGGAACAAGTGCCACGCTAGTAGTAACAGGTGCCTTACTAGTAGTAACAATGTTTGCTATTAGAAACAATAAGCTACTAGGGGCAAGTGCATGTAGCAAAATGACATGTAATTTCCCTTTCGACTCCTGGAACCCTGGACTAGCGCCTCTTCTTGGCTATACCCAGCATACTTTCGCGTAGTCCAAACGCAGTACTCTCGAAGCTCATCCTGGGATGACAGGCTGTGGGAAGTACTTTGGGTGCAAATTCATAAGGAAAGCACGCCACAATATGACTAGTTATCTAAGGAGTTTTACTAGCCAATTGCAAGTTTGCAGAGTCTTGACTTACGAAGACAAGCAGCAACCAACTGGACCTCAGCATGTCGTTGAGGGGTTCAGCCATTTCTCATGCAAAAGCTGGTTGTTTTGTCAGCTGACATTTAGGCACTTACCAAAAGAAAAATAACGCAGTACTGAACTATCCTCATCCGATGATCAAACTGTCTTCATCTGTCTTCCAAAGCCATGAAGGGGTATCATCCACTCATACATGATGCTGTCAGCTTGCTGCTTTTTGCCACTGTCATTTTGATCTATCATCGCTAATGATGTTATGCTTTGCCATTGAGATTGTCATCGCGGCTTGTCATTGCTCGTTGCTCTTATCACTAAGGTCGGTTGACGGTTATTGAGGTGTTCATTTTGTTTGCAATCACTCGCTGTTTGCTAGTGGCTTCTCAATGCTTCGTCGTGTTTGGCTTAGGGTCTTAAGCTACTGTCAGCCTTGCCGCGAATGTTTGATTGTTGTGGCTCGTCTCTTGTCATTCTGCTTTCACATTCGCACTTTGCAGAACCTTGGGATCGTCCAAATCCCAAACAAATACAGCCTGTTTCGTGTCCACCTGTTCGGTAGCCAAGTGACAAACTCGTCGAATTCCAACGATTTTTGATTCTCGAACGTCTGACCATCAGCCAACGCGACCTGTGGGCGTTGTGGGCAGTTTTCGTGCAATGCAAATATCCCAGATTTCGTGTGAATGCCTCCACCCTAGAAGCAATGGCCTCCAACCTACTATAGATGGCCTCCAACCTAGTAGCGATGACCTCCAACCTAATAGTAGGTTGGATGACAAAGAATAGGCAACAAGCAAATCCATTTCATTGTATTTCAACAATCAAGGATTGAAGGCTGCATCTCCGGTGTGTCTGGTTGACACACAGTTTTTGGTGCCATCGGATTCTACACCAAACAATCGCAACAAATCCTCGTTCCAGCCTCCACTGCTTCTTCTGAAAGGACCAGGAGGATGGCATTTTCCACCTACACGACGATGCTGGATCAGAAACACAAACACCATATCTGAAATCGCCAAAGGCTTGATTTTGATAAGCAGATGGCAATGGTCCATTTCCTAGTGCTGTCCCTCTCAAGACCTCCGTGAAGACCGACGCCTCTGGGCCCAGCAGGACGGGTGGATTCTGGAAATGGTCTGCGTTCTTTGTGAACACCATCTTTACTCTTGCCAGCTGCTTCTCACGGAAGAGCCGCATGAAACGGATAAACTCCTCAGTGACATGGAGCTTCGTTCCTAAACATCTGAAACAGGAAGAGGTGTGACAATGTTCTTTCCAAGTCATCTTGATGCCATGAACCAAGCTCGGCCGCATGTCCATGTCCAAAACGCCAAGGCTCCCGGATGTCCAAAACGCCGTTGCCATTGATGTCCACCGCAGACAAGAAGCTGCGGACCTGCGCATCTGTCAGAAAATCCCGTGTCCAAAAAACACGAAGAAAGAAAAACAAGTTTGTTCAAAGTGTTTGTTTTCTTGTCCAAAAAAGATCATCGCCTAACACTTCCAGCGACTGATGCTCAAACATGCCAAGAAAAAGAACAAAGTCCCACGTTTGGAACGCAACAGCAGGATACTGTGACTAGCAGGATCCTGGATAATAAAGGCAACAGGTACATGAAACGACAGTACCACAGGAAGCTCATGTGATCTCATGTGTCTTGTCGTTGTTAGGAAAGGCTCATTAGTCTGGCTGTCTGCAACACAGTCTCCGAAGTGTTTTCGTGATATCACGAATCACGAGTGGCTTGGCACACCAGAAGCAACGAGACTGGCAACAGGGTTATTGATTGGAACACATGGGAAAACGCATGGATGCTGAGAGAGTAGATCGCTCACAAGCCGACCCCATCCACTTTCAATCTTGACAGCGTAGTGCGATGTGCCGCCGTTGGAAGCAAATTGGAATAAAGGGCAAACGAGGACCGACTGACGAACGAACGGAGGCCTCTAACTCTGCAGGGAAAAGAGCAAAGAGCAATAGATTAAGCCTAGGAGCAAGGACGCTACTAGGGGCTCCTGGCCTTACTACTAGGAACAAGAACCCTACTAGGAACAAAGGGCACCGCTACTAGTAGCAAGGACGCTAACCCCGAGTACCTATTAAAAAACGGACCCCTTCCTTCAAAAAGAAGTCATGTCGGAAAACCCTAGATACGGTTTATGTTCGGTTTTAAATTACCGCCCTTTCAAACCGCTACTAAACTGCCAACATTGCCGAATTTGGTGAGTTATTTTTTTAATTAGGTTCCCCAAAAACTCCCTCTTGACCTAGTAGTAGTAGTGGTGGCGGTAGTAGTAGTAGTAGTAGTAGTAGTAGTAGTAGTAGTGGTAGTGGTCAACAGACTACTGCATCTGCCACGAAATCTGCACTTCAAGGTCAACAGACTACTGCACCTGCCACGAAATCTGCACTTCAAGGTCCACAAAGTAATGCACCTGCCACGAAATCAGCATTGGATCTGCAATGAGTTCATCAATGATTCAAGGAACCTTCCACTGACGCAATTTTGGACCACCCCTATTTCAGGGACCCCCTATTCAAAAAAAATGCGACTGAGGATTCCTTATTAGGGGGGGGGCGTGTTTTTTTTTTTTTAGGTGGACAGGATTATTAGGGGCTCATGTTTGATCATTTTTGCCACCTATGGGGACGTCCAAGTGTGGGATGAGAGCGTTGGCCAAAGTTCTTGTCACGACTATTTTGCCCCTACCAGCAAGAACACTTTGTTCACAAGCCCTTCAAGCCCTTGCTGATTACAATAAAACCTCGATGGATCTACACGGTTCTTGGACATGTCAGAATGCATCGCAAAGACCAACAACACATTTGTCGCCCCAAAAAAAAACATCGACATCTTCACAGCAAAAAGCCTCCTCCATGCGCGAGCATTGACCGAGCTCGCGCAACATGTCGCTCAGCTCGATGGAGTTGATGTCTCCACTGTCGTCCTTCGAATTCACTGAGAACATCAAACGGACCAAGAACTTTCAAGCATAGTGCGCCAACAGCTTTTGATGGCACTCCTTGTCAAACTTCTTGAACGTCTTCTCAATTCGAGCTATCTCCTTCCCAAATCCACAGCGAGGCAAGAATTTGGAAACATCCACATTTTTGCTCAGGAATGGGAGTCTCCAGGCTAGTTGAGTCTAGTTCTCGGCAAGTCCTCTCGGTTAAAACCATCCGTTTCCTCACAGAGCATGCATGGTGACTGACAAGTTAGACTCATCAGTGAGGGAAGTTGACGCCAACTAGGCTCGAAGATGAAGGTTATCTGAAGTGACTGAGCGCAAGACATTGAGGATCTGCATGAAATGGACAAAGCTGTCGTAATCCAAGCCTTCATTGTTGGTGTGCACAATATCGCCTCGCACTCGAGCCTGGCACACGTCATATTTTGTTGAAAGCTCTTAGGCTGGAGCCCATTGCTCTTAGGATGGAGGCCATCGGTACTAGGTAAAGCAAAAAGGATGTAAAAGGTCTCACGAAAGGAGAAATCGCTACTAGGTTGGAGGCCATCACGCACAATCAGCAACCTCATAGACAAGCTCATCCACCGTCTTCTGCGGAATGGTGAATCCCAAGTCCTTGATGACCTGCTCTAGGTATGCTCTGCTCAGTTTCAGGGTGTCGGATATGCTGAGTTGGACACGTTTTTCACTTCACTCATGTCAATGCTTTTGGAATGGTCATCGTCATACTTGTCAAAGACTTCTCCTCGGTGTGCGAAAATTCGGTCAGGCGTCGAACCTGTCACTCCGAAGTGTTCCTATTAGCGTCCTTTCACTCCGTTCGTAGTGATTGCCCTTTGCTCCGTTCGTAGCGACCATTGCTCCTAGTAGTAAGGCCAGGAGCCCCGAACGTAGCGATAAAAAGGCGAGCAACTGTAGTTGGTGAACATCTTCTCCCGAAAACGTCTGGCCCAAAGGACCGCTTCTTGAAAGGTTAAAGCGGGGGGTCCGGTCGGGCTGGTCGTGGTACCTTGGCAAAAGGAAAGGCTTTCCATGCCAAAGCCCTCTTTCAAACAAATAACTCATACCAAACATGAATGGTGCTGTGTTTAACACAATGGTTATTGCGTCTGGTAGCAAGGAGCAACCTTTAAATGCCGAGACATGAGGTTTCGACAAACGGTTTTCAAGAACACATTGATGTTTTCGGCGTTCAGGCCGCAGGGTTTGCCGTTGGCGTTCAGGTTCGTGTTTGGATGGGTCTTCTCGAACACGAACGAACCACAATCTGCGGGACTAAGAACTCACAGACAGGTTTTGCGTGAGGAAAGTCGAATCAACACACTGAAAGAATGCGTTCTTGAGAGCAATAGCATTGCATCACAAAACCTTACATGATACATCATGATACATGTCCAAATATCTTGACCAAAGCGCACATCGTTGTGTTCTGGCTTCAGTTTTGTGCATGATGAACTTTCAATCTCATGTGTTGTCAGCATCCTGACGTCCTTCATCTTCCCATCATTTCCACAGCTTACACTGTTCACTAGCACCCATGTGGTCCATGTGTCTGTATAGTGCACCTCTGTTCCGCGCCGTGCAGTGTAAATGATTCTGCCAAAATGGTCATTGTCGGTCTGGACCCACACCAAGTCTGAGCCCTTCCGTCCGGGTGCCTAGGAGCTTGCTAGTTACTAGCAGCTGACTTAGACAAGGGTAAAGTGTCCCTAAGAATCTAGGAACCAACTGATTAGTGTGAGCGCTTCTTCAAGGAAGCTCCCCCCGCCGCCTTTAGAGCTACCAACTACTAGCCTGCTGACCTCTTCCTACTCGTGGCCTAAAGAAAAATTGAAGCCAAAGGACCAGCGCCAACGCTCTTCCTTCGGCCTGCCGAAGAGAGCTCCTGTTGCAACTCGACGCTGAAGTCCGCAGCTCTTGGCCTTGATCCAGACATAACGAGGAAAAGGCATGTAACACACATAAATGAAAGAAAACATTATCCAATTGAAAAAGAAAATGAATCGGTTTAATATAAATAACAAATGAATCAACTTGAAACAAAGAAACAGGAAATAGGGTCCAGTGGTCTAATAAGAATAGATGCAAAGTGAAGGAAACAATATACAATTAATTGGATAAGAAGGGGAATATGTTTTTTCTTTAGTCATCCCTTGCTACTTTAGGGCCGTTGTCCTTGCCGAGGAAAGGGCGAGGCAGCAGTTAGTCTTGCGTCTTGCGAAAAAAAAGAAGGAATGCATGGACGAAACGCTTGCGTGGGGTAGGGGGCGACCTTTGTGTTCTCCTTCACGCTTTGTCTCAACATATGATGTTCTGGACAAATGCGGCGGTTAAGTTACGGTAGGTGACTTCTGTCATGGCGGACGCAAGTTGGACTGTTGGTCCATCCCTGGATGCCGTGTCCGTGATGTTTGATCTTGCGTGTTTTCACTGAGGCTACATGTTCGGCACTATGTTCGGCAACTTGTGCGTCTTGTATAATCAAGGCAAAAACAGTCTACTAATCTTCTTCATCTTTTGGCACAAGCGATCAACAAGATCTACTTGTGTTTGTGTTTGTGCGTGGCCTGTAGCTTCAGCTCCTTAGCTGCCTAAGCCCTTAAAGTGCCTTACACATAGCAATGTGATCAGTGTTACTTGTTTAGGGGCTTTGCAGCTGCACGTCTAAAACCGGAAAAAAAGAAACGTCTAGACGTCATGGTCTTTCTGTCTCTAGAGACCTAATAGCACTGGTTATTTTTCTTGTTTCTTCCTTTTCGTGTTTGTCTTTTCTTCCTTTTAGCAGACCTGTAGAATCCTTTGGACACTTTTGTCTGCTCTTTTCCAACTTGTCCTTCTCTTTTGCCTTTGGACATTTTCTCTCTTTTCCGAAGTTCTTCTCTAAGCCTAAGGCCGCTTATGGCCGCTTAAGGCGGCTGGTGTTTCATCTGGGTCCCGTGCCCAAAGAACTGAAGCAGCAAGGAATAGAGCCGATCTGCGGGAAGACTCCTGCACTTCAAGGCCCAAGCCACATCCAGCAAGTGCCAATCCATTTTTCTTTTCTTTGTTTCTTTCTGTGTTGTTCTTTCTTTCAAAATCTACAGGGATGACTTCAATGGAAAAACATTGAGTTCTGCACTGAGGGCTGAAATGTTCTCATCACACTGAGCCCTGCACTTCTCGTCGGTGACCTTCCCTGTTTGCATGCCCTGTTGTTGTTGATCAATGAAGACGGATGTCAGCTCTTGAAGCTCCTGGATGGTGAAGCCTTCAGAATGCCTTGCTGAACAGGCTGCAAACACGGAAGTGATACATCCAATGATACTGGCTGTTGGTGTGCATGGTCCTAACTGAACGAAATGGACAGCTGGAACGCAGGCTTATGCTGCTTACACAGCAAAAGTTGTCAAGCAAACCTGATCGAGATCCCTCAGCGGGAAGGGACAACAATGCCAAGCTCCACCTGTACACGTGCATGAGGATCACTGTCTCTTCAAAATCCAGAACGCCGTTGCCATCCTTCACAACGCTTTTGCATGTTAACAATTTTTGGCATGTGTCATGCTTGCAACTATTGAGATGCCCTGCCATTCTGCATGTCCGCCGATTTGTCTCCAAGTCTCCAAATCAACCAGGTCCAAGGACTCTCGGATAATGCTTCGCAGCGGAGTAAAGCCCAAGGACATGAGGAAGACGCACGGTTCATCTGCATCTAGTGTACCACTGCCTCAACCATTGGCTATCTCAAACAGAACATACCCTGCTCCCGGTGAGCCAAAAACAGGAAGCCATCTTTATCGAGCTTTTAAGAAAAACCGACAAAGAAAAACACAAGAGCCAAAGGTGCAAAGAGGAAACAATATAATGACAAAAGGAAGAAAGGAAACATCATTGAGGTTCAGGCTTCTTCAAGGAAACTCCTTACCGCCACAGGCGATGTGAGCTTCCTTGAAGAAGCCTGAGTCCTAGCCTGCATCTCAGCTACTTGTAGTAGCGGCCTACTTAACAGCTTAGTATTTACCTCCTTACCTGTTTAGCTGACATAAGCTAAGTTTCCCCAAAAGTCTAGCAACCAAATGATTGGTGCGAGCGCTTGTTCAAGTTCTTTCAAGAAGCGTGAACTACCCTGCGTCCAGTTACTAGTAGCTTGCTTTCTAAGTTATATAAGTAGCCGCCTACTTGATTAAGAAGGCAGGGCCGCGGACGCAACATATGCCAAGAAACCATCTTCATCAAACCGTTCGAAAATGTCCTTGAAGGTTTCGAGCTCGTACTCCACATGCTTCTCCATGAAGAAAACAAACTCGCCCTTTTCCAGCGTAGGAAACCTGGAGATGCCATCAGCCATTTCCTTGCAGTGGTCTTCGTCGACCTGTGTGTATCCCAGGTGCATCAAGACCTGTGCCATGTGCAGAATAGAAAGGCAATCCCTTTGTCAAGCAATCATGCTGTCCAAAAAGGAATCAAAAAAAGAAGTCAGGCACCGGTAGCTGCTCCGTCTTTGCAATTGCCGACTGTCAATACATGTGACAAAAAAGATGTCAAAACAAGTAAACATCTCAGTTTCCCTAAAATCTAGGAACCAAATGAATAGTGCATGAGCTATCCTGCGTCCTCACTAGTTAGTAAGCTTACTAGTAGCATATAATTAGCTACCTAGCCCTTACTTAACTCAGTCGCCGCCTACTTAGTTAAGTAAAACGAATCAAAAAAACAGAAAGAACAACCGGTTTCAGCAAGTCAAGCTGAGCCGAAGCCTCCCGCCTTAGGAAGTTCGTCCTTGTGAATCTCTGGATTGTCTGGATCCTCGAAGTCTGCACATGCTGGACGAACCAGCAGTGATTGCTATTTGTTTTTTGGCAAAAACAAAGAGCGTCTTGTTTTGATGTTGTTTTCTTTCAAAACCTGAAGCCCTTTCAAAGGCCTTCGATCTAAAAAAACCCTGTCCTTGAACCGCTGGAAGGCGCTGTGGATTCGTTCTAGCTCAGTGCTGGAGAAACCATCAGCACCAGCTCTTAAGCGAGAGATCACCTCTCTAAGAACACAGGAACGCTACTAGGAACAAGTGCATCGCTTCTAGTAACAAGCGCCTTTAGTAACAATGTTTGCTACTAGTAACCATTTAATGTTAATCTAATGTTGTTAGTACCTAGTAGCTTCTTGTTACTACTAGTAAGGCACTTGTTCATAGTAGCTTCTTGTTACTACTAGTAAGGTCGCTCTTCAAGGGTGGGCTGGGGAGGAGCTTGGAGCTTCCTTGACCCGTCGATCATTTTGAATGCGCCCATGCAAAGCTGCATGCTGCCAATGACTGTTTTCCCAACGTCGTGCCTCGGAGACATCAGGAAGCCAAGTCCCTAATGGACTTGAAACATCTTTGCTTGGGTTTGCAAACTTCTTTGAATCTTTCATATCCTCCTGCAGCGTTCTAACACACCGCATCCTTGGCTCTGAAAGTGCAAGCAACTGCCCTGTCCTGATGAGGTTTACCATCGCTGCAGTCCTTGGGCGAAGCTTTGCGCGCTTCTTCTTTCATAACCAGTGTACTGTATGACTGTATGTTTTGCTGCGGTTTTACTAGCCAGTAAGTAGTCTTCCTGACTGTTGCAACCTCTCAGACTGTAAAAATGAAAAAACAAACGATGCAAAGGTGTGATAGCTAGTGCGATAAGCTGAACAGGCCGAGCGTTGCTGTTTTGGGAATGTTTTGAAGAAGTGGGCTTGGTGGGCTCCAGTCTTTTAAACATATTTCATTGGAGAGAGCCTGTTTTCAAAGTTTATACAAATCAAAAAAGTCAATCCCAAAAGTCAAAGTAAAAAAACAAGTCAAATCAGAAAGGTTCAGAAAGTCAAAAAACAGTCCATTTGCCTAGATCCGACTTTTTTTTGATCTTTTTTGATATTGTTTGTCGACTTTTTTTGACATGTTGTCAACTTTGTTTGACTTTTTTGATGCTTTTGTTTGGACTTGTTCGAGTGGTTGACTTGTTTTTGACTGTTTGTTTTTACTTGTTCGATGTTTTTGATTTTGACTTTTTTGACTGTTTTCGACCTTTTTTGACTTTTCAATTTGACTTTGACTGTTTTTGACTTTTTTTTAATCAAGGATTCTGGCCTTACCATATGAGAGATCTTTATAACTCCAGTGCTATTGAAAATGCAAGTGTTGGTAAATTGAAACATCTTGTGCCAGTGGTGGCCTCTTTTTTGGGAGGGTGTTGGACATGCTGACCCCGCAAACAGCGGTTGGATGTCATCAACCGCCACCAGCGGTGGCCACCCGTCCGCAACCAAACAAGCGATGAATTTCACGATGAAATCTTATCTGCACGACGATCGCATCAGTCAAGTTTACGAACACAAAGTAAATATCATGCCTCTGGAGAATCATGCCAACAAGCACGAAGCGGCATCATCTTAAGAACCCTCACACAGCATCGCAGGAATCGTCAAGTCTATTCACGAAGCAACATCCGTATCTGCATAGAGCACATGTCCAGCCGAAAATAACATGCAAGTGCCTCATAACATGGACTTTCTGTGCCCAGTTAGGAGTTCGACCGGTTCCAATCAAGCCATAAAGATGGGGTGCGGGTCAAATTTGGATCTAAGTACCATCACCCAACAACGATAATGTTTGGGCACAACTTCAGCGGATTGTGTCTTCCGTGCTGGTGCCACTTAAATCACCGAACTCGAAATTGGTCGAGGGCAGCGCCTAAAATTCCTACAGCATGTGGTGATGGAGAACTGTTTCCTAATTATCATCGCCATCTTGGGGGTCAAAGCTTCAGTACTGCACGCGTCAAAGTTGTGGCTGCTGAAGGGCTCCGGCTCTCGCCTTAGGAGCTTCACCAAGCAGTCAAGCTCAAGTTTGGACAGTGAAATGTGCTTTCAAAAAAAGCTCCTAGTAGCTTCTTGTTCCTATTTGTTCCTAGTAGTAAGGTCAGGAGCCCCTAGTAGCGTCATTGCTCCTAGTAGCGATGCCAGGAGCCCCTAGTAGCTTCTTGTTACTAGTAGTAAGGCAGCACCTTCACCTTCATTGATTCCGCTTCAAGCGTCAGTGTCAAGCGGATTCCCAGCAAGCAAAGACTAGTGCCATGCCAAGCTTGGTGCTTGGCGCCGCACTTGTAGTGAGGGATGGGCAAACCACCTCCCCGCCGAGAATTCAATGCAAGCTGGTCCAAAGTGCGGCCCTGCCACCTCAATGTCTCAAGTCTCGAGCTGCTCGACTCAGTTGGAGGCCAACGCAGTCAATGAAACAAGAAGCTATTAGTAACAAGTGCATCGCTAGTAGTAACAGGTGCCTTACTACTAGTAACCAGAAGCTATTAGTAACAAAATAGCGATGGCCTCCAACCTACTAGCGTCCTCTTGTTCCTAGTAGCGATGCCAGGAGCCCCGTTCGTAGCGTCCTTGCTACATTACATCCACATGTTTGTTTACTAGTCCTAAATCACATCATATACTTCCTTTCTCGTGTACTTGTGTTTAGCTTGAGATCTTGGTTGCAAGATCACATCTCTTAAGTGCAGTGCTCAAACAACTTCATTTCAGCCATTCAAAGAGCCACCTAAGGGAACATTCACTTCACAATATGGTCAAGCCGCAGGCTCCGAACCAGGACAAAGCGCCAAAAGGCCAACGGTGGTGCAAACAGACCCGGACGTCGCAAACGAACCGTTTTTCACACTGTTTTCATGGCAAAGCCTTGCGACCAGCCTCTTTCCCCAAAGGAACTGCTTTTTGGTTTCACTGCGAAGTGAGCCCGAAGGGCCCCGTTACAAGATCCCGTAGGGCTGAAAGTGGGACCGTTTTCACTGATTACAGCATCATACACTCACGCTGCTTGTCTTTAAAGACCTCTATTCAGTTCTAGTGTTCGGACAATTCAGCTAGATCAGCTAGACAGCTCTTTACACATGCCTCGTTCCTTTTACATTATTTCTTTGTGTTTAACCGATCGGAGAGCTATTTTTTCAGCAAGCTTCTTCCTGTCCTCCTTCCAACTGTCCAGTCCTTCCAAAACAACTAGCACCATCCACAGTGGCACCAGCCTCAAAACCTTTGATACTCAAACAACATGCAATTGCACTTGTGAAGTTCTTGGAACCAAATTAAATTAGTAAATGTGCGTGCGCTTCCTTGAAGAAGCGTGAGCCATCCTGCGTCCTGTTGGTAGTAGGGTGTTTAGTACAACTAGTAGCCTATACCCGCCTATACCTCTTCCTCCAGTGGCTTACCCCCCGGGCTTAAAAGAATACATAACAATAGCAATAAACGATGTTTCTATCTCAAACGTGTTGATCCAAGAAGCTCTGTGTGGGGTGATGGGCTTCTCTCACGCGGCTCGGTGGTCCACGCCCTCGGCTCCTCCTCTGGAGGGGGAGGCCGTTGCGTCAGCTGTTGGGACTGTGCCCGCGCCATCAAGCGAAATTCCAAGGGTTCGGTGTAGGGTCCTTAAGAAATTGGTCTGGAACGAGAATCACTTGCATACTTCTTACATATGCATTACATGTCATCATCGATATTCAGTGAATGGAAATCTTGTGGATGGGGAACCCCTTCCTTTAGAAGAGTAAGCTCTGGCACTCACGTTTGATACTTGGATACGCCGGCCCTTTGGAGGAAAAAGGACAAAGGAAAAAAACAACAAGTGATTGACTACAGTTTGGAAAGGGACTCACATCATGACGCCACAGGCAAGTTATGCTAGCTGCCTGATTTTGACAGCTTGAACCGGACGCATCAACAAGGACGCTATGCTGGGTGGAGGCCATCGCAAGTAGGTTGGAGGCCATCACTACTAGTAACAAGAAGCTACTAGTAACAAAGGGCATCGCTACTAGGAGCAAGGAGGCTACTAGTAGTAGCAAGAAGCTTTCTTGGGAATTCCCAGTGAAACGATTCCCAGGACAATTCTGCAATGCGATCGATCGATCGAAGCATTGGCTGCCAGGGCATCTTCCCCAACAGTACACTCTACAAACCTAAGCTCTAGAGGTGTGCAAAAGGACATACAGTAAAAAGATGCAAAACAACTAAATCAATAGACATACTTTGAAAACACATGTTCTTATTCCTCTTTTTTCTGTCTTTGCTTCAGCTGTTTTAGTTTCATCTTTGTTTTCCGTACAAACCTACGCCCTAAACGTGTGCAAAACAAGTAGAAAGCAGCCAGGTGTTCGTTGACTTTTCTCCAGCACTTTGTCGGGAGGGTGAGACAAGACATTGCTGAGCTCTAGACTTTGTTCGCTTTTTTCTCAAGCTTCTAAAGTTTCAATCCAAAGCCCTTTGCGTTGGAAAGAGTCTCCTGCAGGGTGTGACACAAGACAAACAGTTCGACAAAACCTAAACTGGGAAGCTCGCTGGGGAAGTCTCCTTGGCAAATAGCATGACTTGCACCCATTCCTTGTCTGACCTCAGAAGCTCTTCAAAAAAAGCAAGCGGAGCTGCCTGTCCTATTACTTTGAAGCTACTAGGAACAAAGGGCATCGCTACTAGGAGCAAGGACGCTACTAGTAGCTCCTGGCATTACTACTAGTAGCAAGAAGTTACGAACGGAACAACGGTCTTCCAAAAGGGAAGGCCTGTCTTCCCTGCCTGGTCTTACGAATGAGACATACACGTGAAAGACCGCTTCGGAGGACTCCAAAGGCGCGGACTCTCCCTTCAGCTCGACAATGTTCATGATGAAATGCTTGGTTCGCCAGTCGATGGACGGATGCAACTCATGCAGTCCGAGCTTGTATTTCATCACATCTTCCTTTTCATCGTAGACCTGCCGTTTCAACCAGAAATGCCTTGGGCAGGAAATTATGAAGGAAGCACACAGGGCAAACATGCCCCTCAAACCGGATTCGACATCTCATCCAGCTTTTGATTGATGATGACCTGAGCTCAAACAACCGTCCAGCACGGCTCCAAGTCAAAGCCAAGCAACAAACCAAAGTGACGAGAACACCAGTTTAACATCGCGTATTCTTTCATAGTCAATGTGCAGCGGCTGAAGGGAACTAAAGCACTTGTTCCATGTAGTCCCTCTTCAAATAACGGATGTCGGCGATCTGGGAAAGAGTATGTTGCTTGCATTCTTGAGGCGAATCAGGATGCATGTTGAGGTGACACGGAACATCAAGTCCAGAAGTACGGATGATGCGATTGAAGATCATTCATTGAAGCTAGATTTAAAGACTTGAAAAGGATATATTATAGCAAAAGGACGCTACTGGGGGGCTCTTGGCATCGCTAATAGTAACAAGAAGCTACTAGGGCTCCTGGCCGTACTACTAGGAGCAAGGACGCTACTAGGGGCTCCTGGCCGTACTACTAGGAGCAAGGACGCTACTAGGAACAAAGGGCATCGCTACTAGGAGCAATGCGCGATCATAGGGCAAACCAAGGCGTGTCAAACGGTCTGAGCTAGAGACGCAAAAGCAGGTGTTGCGGAGCTCTGCCTCCGACAAAGGAGCCATATGCATGGCATCACAAACCAAAGGCGTGGCATGTTCCTTATTTTGGAGTATTCTGACTGTTTCACCTGTCCCTCAACATCCTCCGGAACTGTGTTTCAAGGCGAGGGGCTTCAAGAAAGCCAAGTTTCTTCTACGGTTAATGGAGGAAATCCTGCAGAGAAGACTTTGGTCCAAAGCAGCAGCTGCACACTTTGGCACCGTACAGCGTGGAGCAAAAAGCCTTAGCTTACCTTTCATCAAGGCCTGCCCCCCAAAGAATAAGCATGGACCGCATGGAATACAAGAAGGAAAGCCAGGTCCTGTTGAAGATATGATTGGAAGGCATGATGGTCTCGCTGCAAGGTGTTTCCAACCATTCAGAGTTCAACGAAATGCTTGCACCTCGCTCATGAGTACGTGCAGGTGTCGCTTGGCTGCATCAATCCTCTCCGATGTGCTGAGGAGACATTCCAACAAACGAAAGGGCACAGTAGGCATGCGGCATAAGTAGTAGACATAGGACACTTAGACGCTTATCAACAAATTGCTTAAGAATTGTCTGACTCCGTATTCTGCTCTATCGATTGCTTGCACTGGATGTGCTGACCTTTCTTCTGTCTCATCCCCAGCGACCACAAAGACGACACAATGGATCTTGATGGACTGGTAGAAAAGCTTCCAAATGTGCCTGAAATGAAGTATCAAGACTCACAAGTATCCCACAGAGGTCACGCACTACTGACTCCTTGCCCTACTGCTATGGAAGTGACATAGTAAGTGAGATGAACAAAGGAAAACCGGTCCCATCCTGGGGGTAAATCACACCGGTAAGGTTTTGCGAGCCTTTCTACTTGGACATCTGCTTAATCCGCCTTGCGTAAACCTTGTGTGAGGGAAACCGTGTGAAAGTCCCTCCGCTCGCTCAGTGGCCTCATTGCTTCGGTTCCAGGAACTTCCCACACACCCACAGAGAAGGACCTTGTCAGCTCCTGGTGGCAGCAAACAAGAAAGAACAAAATAGAACACCTACAGCAGGTGGAATGGCCTCCAACCTAACGGCGACGACCTCCAACCTAGTAGCGATGGCCTCCAACCTACTAGCGACAGCCTCCACCCTAGTGGCGATGGCCTCCGCCTTTGATCTAGTAGCTAGATCAAGTTCACCTCCATGACTTCCAACGGAAAAGACAGAGGTGCATTTGTGACTCGCTGTTGCTGTTGACAGGCCTCATAGTGATAGCCTGGGTCTTCCACCTTTCCATCTTGAGGTGTTCGCATATCTGCCATGTCAGAGGCAATGTTCGTCCATCCAGATCCAATCTTGAGCCTTCAAGGTGCATCAAGCTGCACTGAAAGACCAGAAAAGACTTAAGATGTGGAACATATATCAAAGCCACGCGTGAACCACATCAATACATTCAGAGATCAGTACCAAATGTTCTCATTGGAAAGGACATGGACCACAGTTAGAGTCAGGTGACACGTCGCATCACTGCATCACTCCCTAATAGAAAAATGGTGCTGTTTAATCCAAGATTGGTGCGGTTACAAGATTGACTTGACATGCTAGGCCGCTTGCAAGACTCACAAATTGAAAACCTGTGACTGGTCACCTCATGCACTTCCCTGTAATTACACCTGTAATTACGCCGGGCCTGTAGAGCAAGGTTGTCTTGCCCGATTTGTCCAGGCCCAGAATGAGGAATTGAGGGAACTCGCTGCTTCCGCTGATGAGGCCTCCCGAAAATCCAGCACACCTAGGCGAAGACTGCGGCAAATCTCTGCCAAGAACACGCTCTAGCTTCAGGCCATCTCTACTAGGTTGGAGACCATCAGTAGTAGGTAGAAGCATCAAATCTCTTTTTCAGAAATTGAAAGGCTCGGGCTTGGAAAACAAGGACTTGATGATGGACATGGGCCTCCACGGTACTCCAAAGAATGACCAGAACCTTCAAAAAGTATTTTTAGTTCAATCGCTTGCAACATTCTTCTTAATCAGGCTGCCTTCAAGATTGAGTTTGCAACGTCACAAATTCAAAGAAGACATGGCGCTTGGAAAGTTGGAAACTTATCTAGATTCTAGTGACCTAGACACCTAGTGCTTTGGCTTTGCAATGTTGGAGCGAATAAATGAATAAACTCAACAGCGTGTCAAGAGTCTTGCATTCAAATAGTTCATGATGGTGACAGGAAGAAATCCTTGCTTCACATACATCAGACCATTTCAGACATTGCATCATTGACCAAGGTTGCTCTTTGAGACTGGAACAGCGCACAATTGAAGAAACAATGTCCAGTCAGAGGCATGCAAGGCAGGTTGTATCGACTGCCGCGAGTTGAATCGACAGCTGCGCGCGTTTTGGGTGGCCAGGCCGAGCCTCTTTTCTTCTTTGGAGCCTCTTTGGGCCATTCTGAATCTTCTCAGAGAAAGCTCGGATTTGGATTGGGATCATAGGCGGCCTGACCAAGAGCTTGCGAGCAATAGTGTGACTGCAGCCTGACTGCCGAGCCTCTGTTGGAGCACATGGGTAAGCAACCTCAACACGGCGTCTATCGGCACTGCTATCATCAGATACTTCATGCAGAAACCTTCAAATGAGCCAAATGTGCCGAAGTGCTTGATGCCCAGAATTGTGTGGGTACACAAACCTACTGATGTCAGACCAATCGCTTTCTTGTCTTCGGATACCTAGGTGAAGGGCCGAGAAGAGGAAGTGTGCAAATGACTGCACTCTGCGAATGGCATGGGCCTAGGCTCTCCGAAGATCAACCAAGCTCAGCTCTTGAAGCTTTGTCTAGCTTCAATAGCATCAGCCGCAGAGTAAAAAACCGATCATCCAAGGGAAAAGGGTTGTTATCCTGACATGACATGGAGGCCATCGCTAGTAGGTTGGAGGCTATGCTCATTTGACTTAGCCTTTGGCGATCCGAAGTGCCTCATCATGGGAAAGTTCGCCCCACATCCGGGCACCCTGGTCTGTCATGTCGGTGTCCCACATGCTGCCCTGGCCATAGCACTTTTAGCAAAGCTTCAAAAAAAGAGCCAAGAAAGCACGGTTGTAGAAAGGAAAACAAGTCTAAAGGTCTTGAACAGGAAAGAAAACAAGAAAAAGCAACAGAAGGAAAAGTGAAGAGTACATGTAAAGCATTCGCGTTTCTTGCTTCATGTTGCTCCTAGTCGAAAGGGGTGCTCCATTCCAAACTCAAGACCGATGCGTTCCTGTGAAATACCACTACTAGCACTCCAGCTTAGAGCAAGATTGCTCTCTGTTGGCAACAAAAGTTGATCTTTCTAAAGCATGATTGCTGTCTACTTGTCTTTTCCGGTGACCTTTAGACCTTTCTTTCTGTTTGTTTTGCTTTCGGAAAGTATTCTGCTTTGTACTTCCTGGAACCGGTTCTTGTCCCATTTTGAAGCCCCCAGATAAAAGGCCTGCTTTATCTCGTCAATGGAGGTCATCACATTGGCCAGCCGGCGCATATCGTCCTAAAATGATGGCAACGGACAACCTGACTAGAAGAAATACACTACCCGTGGCCAAGATCCCCAGATTCCCGCAGCAAACACTGAGAAGCACTCAATATCATATCTGGCAAAAGACCTACAAATGTTGGCACCATCTTGTTACATTTGCGTGCAATCACCCGGCATCAATTTCTGCAAGGAGCATTAGTGGGCATTTTGCCCATGCTAGAACGCACCGCCAATGGTTCAGTGAGCTTATCCAGCCTTGAACAAAAAAACGCATTGTTGTGTATCAGGCAATATACGTCATGATCTTGTCAAGTCTTGTAATGAGGATTAATGAGGCACTGCTTTTGCCCTGAGAATTCAGCTTTTGCAGCAACCCCCAGTACCTCTGGGAAGATACGATGGAAGTAACTGCTGCCTTCCGTTTCCTGCTGACAATAATTTCAACGAGCAACTGCTACTCAACAATCCTTGTGACAGAAACAACCTCCAAACAAAACACGACTTTGATAAGCTCCATGTCTAGTTGATCAAATGCCCCCTTCTCTTACGGCACACGGTCCGGGCATTAAGCGAAAAGTGAGCTTCTCGGCTTCCTGGTTAGCACCTGTCAAGCAAACGGAACTTTCTCGCGTCAAAAGGGGTGAGGCATTAAAGGCAAAATGACACATTCAAGAAACGTTAAGTTGCATTCATGAATCGAAATCGAAAATGCAAACAAAAACAATTGAGCATTTCATGTCCAACATGTTAAGTTGCCCACAAAATCTCGGAACCAAATCAATCATGCAATGGGTTCTTCAAGGCAGCTCTCCCCCTGCCCTCAGGCGGAGCGAGCTTCCTTGAAGAATCACGAGCTTTTCTGTGTTGCTGTGTGGCGCCTAGTCGCTTGCTAGATTCCTGCTACTACTTGCTACTAAACCTAATAGCGATGGCCTCCAACCTACCAGTGATGGCCTCCAACCTCATAGCGATGGCCTCCAACCTAACAGCGATGGCCTCCAACCTAATAATGGCCTTCAACCTAATAGCCATGGTCTCCAACCTAATAGCGATGGCCTCCAACCTAATAGCGATGGCCTCCAAACTCACTATAAGCGTTATTTACTACTCTTACTAGTTAGCTTAGCTTAGCCACCGGTATGCTTACCTAGCCTCTCCACGACCAGACTTCACTGCCTACACCCCCAGAGTATCTAAAACATACACATCGTGTGTCCATCTCTTTACATTTTGTACCAAAAACATATCCATGTTTGTAGCAAGGCGTAGTGGCGTCCATTCCCGGCGAGCAGGTGGATCCAGTGGCTTCGCTTAGGTGCTTACATAAAAGGTCTGGTCCCTGAGCCTGATAGCAAATGCATACTCTGATGAGATCAAAAGCGTGCGCACAGCTGCTCAGCAAAGCTACGGGCACCTTTAAACTTCCCCAGGGCATAGCCAATCTTGGGCATGTGGCAGGCAACAAAAGTCAGCTGACAAAGCTATTGTTGTCAGGGGCAGTCCTTCAGCTACTGAAATGCATGAGTTCTTGTTGGCCAAACAGGGATGGATTGGATTAGTCCTTTTTCTAAGGTGAAACAACAACAAAGGCTGTTTAAAGAAGTTCCGCAAAATGTGTGGCTGCAGCCTCTCTATGAAAGTGAAATCCAAGCTAGTGGCCAACCATGGATCACACTCATCCCGCGCCAAGATCTTGGTTCAATGCAGTTTGATTTCGTTGATTTCATACAAAATCAAAAGGCATAAGTGAAAGTTGAAAGGCCCTAAGGTATTTTCTAGAGTTCTTGACTTGACACCACTACCTCTTGTGCTTTCAAAGACCTTAAGGTTGGAATGCCATGCTTTGGCATTCTTCGTTTCACGTCCAAGACCAAGCATCTCACATCCCAAGATTGGAGCTTCCACACAGGGCCGTGTTTTGGAACTCCTGCCAGAGTCGTATGAGGCCAAGCCCGGCCAAGCCCAAAGGCCAGTAGACTGTTCCTTTTTCTTCTGCGTTTAATTTGCTTCTTTGGACCTTGAGTAAATATTAGACGCTTTCTTTGGTGCGTTCTTAATCTTCAAAACATAAACGGTGAGTGACGTTTCTTTTTTTGACTGTGAAAAACTGTCTTCAGCCTGTCTTGAGGCGCTGCTGGCCATTAGAGTAAAAATGCTGCAAGCGCATTCTTCACCGTCTTCACCCCGCCTAGACCAGCTTTGTCTACAAACCTCTGCGCAGAATTGCCACCCATCATGCTATCCAAACCTTCCGCTGCCCCTGAAATCCCACGTTGGGCCAGATTGCCCTTGGGAACACTGCCTGGACAGCAAAATGTGAATCTGAGTTGAAACAAATGCATGAAAGTCAACAAGGAAAACAGTGGAATACCTATACAGCAAGTTGCCCCAACAAGGCATTCTTCAGGTACCAACGCTAGTAGGTTGGAAGCCGTTCCTATTAGGCTAAGAAACTAGACCTAACCAAAGCGACTAAGTACCTAACCAAAGCGACTGGATCCAGCTCTTAAGGTACCAACTTGTATGTCCCATCTTTGGCCGAAGAGTTCACTCCTGAGCGTTCAGGTTGGAGGGGAGCTTCTGGGAAGCGAGTCGATTCAGGCGAGCTGCGGCAGACATCACGTTCCCATTGACAGATGAAAGCTGTGGAACAGCTGAAACTCAAACCCAAGGGCTTCAATGTTGCATTATTCTTATTCAAATTCTGAGATACATAGTCACATAGTGAAGGGCAAGAAAGAGACATCTAGTCTTGTGCCATGGATGGTGCATGTCATTTGTGTTCACGTGGTCAACCCAATGATGTGGCATGTCTTGACATGATTCACTCTGACCTTCTACTTTGACGATATTCCTGCCCAACAGGCAGCTGCGAATGCACGAAGCATAACATGGTGTTGAATAATCATAAAGCAAGTCACACGTTGCGAATTGCTGGTTTGTTTTGACTGTCCTGCAATAGCAAGAGCTCGAACCCAACATTCCCTAACCTTTTTACCCCAAAATCCAGCGCTCGGCGCTCACATCCTTTTTTTGCTGATGCATCCCAGAAAGTTCTCAAGGTAACGAACATCAACGTGAAGTCGCCCCACACCCACACCATACAAGTACATGACAGCTTCACTCATGACACTTGGCAGCACCTACAACGAACGTCAACATTGCCCCATGCTTTGCAAGCACCAAAAATGTTTGCTCTGTTCCTCAGTCCCTTTGAAAGCAACACCGCACAACATTGCCAAGACATGGCGAAGCGCAAGACCATGCCCAAACAATGAAGTGAGTTGTCAACAGGTGTCTGAATACAAGCAACCACGTGGTAAACCTATGTAGTAATTACTTTATGTTTGCTGCTGTACCTTCTAGCAAAGCCGTTTCTGAACCAGTCAGCCTGGTTGCATCGGGATTCTTTGTCCCGTCACTTCGTCCTACGGTGCCGTGAAGCGGGTTCAGTTGCAAGCAAATTGCGTCCTGAGCGCAAAGTGTATGCAGAACAAACAAACGCTTTCGGGACAAATGAGGGCAAACGCAAAGACATGCATGCAAATCGTTGGTATTGGGAGGTAGTTTCTCAACAGCTTGCATTCTCATTCAAAAGTGATGGATTGAATTT